TTTTTGGATGGTGCATGAACTTTGAGTGGTGAATATGTAAAGTAATGACATGAAATTGATTATTGAGAATAGTCATATGGGAACTACTACTAGGTATTGGTTATATATGAGACTTATGAACATAGTGGGCTTGATTTTCTGCAGCGAATACAGAGATAGGCCTGATGCATATTGGGCTATTTGCTTTTTGGATAAACAGGTCCAGTACTGTTGCTAGTTGGTGAATATCTTCTAGCCCAATATCGGAATTTTTTTAATTTTTTTTTTTTATTTTTTTTTATGTCAGTCTGTTATTTTAACAAAGGATTATTAATTTATAATAAGGTCGCTGTGGGATATCAAAATAATGGATTTTCTTCTGTATGGTTGTAAACTACATACAATTAGTGGAAGTCCACTAAATTGTGATTCTGCAGTCGGCTGCAGCTTTGTTAACATTAGTGCTGAAATTGTGACCTTGTTTGGTAATCAGCGGTTAGCTGTTAGCGGATTACATTAGCTGTTTTGACCAGCAGATTCCGTCAGCTGTTTTGACCAGCTGATTGTGTTAGCGGTTTGTAAAAAAGTGTTTGGTAAAATTAACTATTTTAATTAGTTATTAACATGTAAAATTACTTATAAAGACATCAACATACTTTATCATTCGAATGTATGTTCAACTTATAATTACATAGAAAATTCAAATATCAATATTTGAAATATTTATTAGAGTGATTTAAATATGATAAAAATATAAATAATAATAAAATAATTTTTTTTATCAAAGTCGCACACGATTTCTTAATAACTTTCTAAGCTTGCACATTTCGAAATATCAAGATTGTTATATTTATCAAATTTTTAAGAAAATATAGGATTAAGGAACAAATATTTGGTCCAAGTTGAATCACTTGAAATTTATTAACCCACATAATTACAGTAATAGAAAAAAAAGACACTTGAATTTAAAAAAGGTTTCAACTGTTGTGTAAAAGTGGAATTAACCACTACACCTTATCATTCATATTATTATTATTATCATTATGTATTGAAAGGTGTGCCACTCACCTATAAAAAGGGGCCAAATCAATGTAATGTTAGTACTGAGAAAAACGAAAAATTGAAGAAAGAAAGCACATTATAATCGTTCCGGTTTTTATACATTGTGTTCTTTATATTGCTCGCATTTCATAACACGTTATCAGCACGAGCGCTCTACCCGGTCAAGAAAGGTAGGATATATATACATATTGCTATTATTCTTGAC